GGGGTGCATGTGGAGGTGGAAGAAATAAACCATGAAAGAGGTATCTCCAAATTTTATCTCCAATAAATTGGCTTTATTTTGTAACAGAGCATGGAGAGATTTAAGGTTAGAGCACTCTTGATATGACAGAAGTTGTGGTGAAAGGAGATTGATAGATTCTTTGGAGATGTAGACTAAATTGTGGGCTGTGTAGTTTTCTGGAGAGAAAAAGGGAAAGAGACAGCTGCAAAGAGTCCTCCTTAGTGTCAGAACAAATCTCAAACACTGACCTAGGAACTGTCCCTTCAAAAGAGCCTGAACTTCATTGTGTTAGTTTGTGACTCAATTTATCCCCAGGGCACTGTTGAAAACAGTAGAGTAATCAGACAGCAATTAGTGGAACTTAAGAGTGTGATCAGGGAAAAGATAGTCAAAGAGAGCTTGGCCAAAACCACTGACATCCTGGCACATCCTGAGGGTTTATCCAATCTGTACCCCTTGAGGAGAAACACTTACTCTGAGAGAAGATTTTACTGAAAAAATCCACCCGGTCACTAAACAAGTAAGCAATTAAATATCAATAGCAAGACCTGACGGTGGAGAACCAAATACTCAGATTTGCTATAATATATTGTCTAAAATGTTCAGTTTCCAATGATGAAAAACAAACAAACAAACAAACAAACAGGGAACAGAATTACCTATGGGAACAGCTAGATGTTGAATTTAGCAAAAATTTCAAAACAGACACTGCAAATATGTTCAAAGAATATGGAAACCACAATTACAAATTTTTAAAAGAGGATATGATTGATGAGGGAGTGTGAGGCAGGCTGAAGGGCAAAGCACAAGCTTAGCACTCTACCCCCACCCCCCCACCACCTTGGGACATGTATGATATTCCTTGGACACTCCCAGCTACCCCAAAACAGGAAAGGAGAAAAACAAATGAATGGTTAAACTGTTAAGAGTCTCTACCAGTTTACCAGAAAAAGGCAATCCCATCATAGCCTAAAGTCCAGGAACTCCCTACTGTCTTAATATTAATGCTTTGCTAGAGAGTAAAACAACCTTAGCTTGACAATAGCTAGGACTCAGTAAGTCTTTAGCATGTGAAAGTCTCTTTGGAAACTCCCTCTGGACTTTATCTCCCCTGAATAGATAAAATGGTATCCTCCCTCCCCCCATAGGACCCCAGTGCAGCTCTTCCTGCCCATGAGTCCTATCCCCATGCTTTAATAAAATCACATTTTTTGCACCAAAGACATTTTCAAGGATTCTTTCTTGGCCATTGGCTCCAGACCCCATGAATCCCCCATCATCCAAAAACTTTATCATGATGATAATGCATCAAATATGGAGTATCCATAAAAATATAGAAGAAACTATATATATGTATGAACCAAATGGAAATTAGGAGTCAAAAGATGTAATAACTGAAATAAAAATGTTTACTAGAGGGGCTCAATTGTATATCTGAACTAGCAGAAGAAATGACCTAACACCTTGTAGATTAATAGAGGTGATGCAAACCAAAGAACAGAGAGACAAAGAGTGAGAAAAATAAACAGTGCCTTAGAGAAATGTGGGACACAATTAGTATCCAACATATACCTCATGGGAGGACCAGCAAAGAAAAGAAAGGGAAAGTAACAGAAAAAAATATTAAGAAATAATGGCTAATGGTTTCCAAAATTTATTGACATTCATTATCCTGCACATCTGTGAAGTTCAATGACCTCCAATGAAGCTCAACACAAAGAAATCTACAGATAGACACAACCATATAAAAATGCTGACATGTGAAGGTAAGGAGAGCATCTTGAAGGCTGCAAGAGAAAAGTGACTCCCTACTGCAAAGGGAACCCCAATATAAGATTTACCCTTGACTTCTCATCAGAAACAATGAAGGACAGAAGGTAGTAGAATAACATATTCTAAAATGCTCAAAACAAAACATTGTCAACCCAGAATCCTATAACCAGCAAACCTATCTTTGAAAAATAAAGGCAAAATAAAGATACTCCCAGATAAGTAAAACTTGGAGTATTTGTTGCTAGAAGACCTGACTTATAAGACATACTGAAAGGATTTCTTCAAGCTGAAAGCAAGTGACTCTAGATAGTAATTAAAATCCAAACAAAATAAAGCAAAAAAGAGCACGGAAATGTATAGGAAATGATATAATTTTAATAGACTGTACAAATGCATATTTATTCTCATTTTTTCTTTTAACTGATTTTAAAAATAATTGTATAAAGCCATATGTATATAATGTGTTGTTGGGCCTGTAACATATAGAAATGTAATATATTTGTCAATAATAGCACAAGGAGGTGTGTGGGAGCAAAGCTGTATTGGGCTAAGGAAACGACTCCAGATGGTAACTTGAATTCACAGGAACAAGTGATGACAACCAGAAATGATAACAAGATTAATATAACAAAAGCGATAAATTCTTAGTCACTTTCTCTTCTCCATTTAGTTCTTTGAAGAACGTAAAATTATATATAAAATTAAAAGTATTATTGGGTTTATAACATTTATAGATGTAATAGCTATAACAATAATACTCCCCAAAATGGTAGAAGTGGAATAGAGCTATATAGGAGTGGCATTTCTATATCTCACTGAAATTAAGTTAGTATAACTTTGAAGCTGCTTCTGCTATGTAAAGAGAGGGATAGCAAGCCCCAGAGCCACCACTAAGGAAATAACTAAAAAAAAAAAAAAAAAGTCATTAAATATATTAAAATGTTACAGTAGGAAATGTTCACTTAACACAGAATGAAGCAGAAAGGAGAAGGGAAACAAGAAAGACATGAGAAATATAGACAAAACATGAAATGACAGACATAAATTCAGCTATATCATAATGTACTAAATATGAACGAACAATCTAATTAAAAGGTAGAAATTGTCAGATTAGCTGAACAAACAAGACCAACTATTGTCTATCTATAGGAGATACACATTAAAAGTAAAGATACAAATAGATTGAAAGTACAGGGATATAAAAAAGGATATCCTGTAAGCTGTATTCCTCTGATACCAACACCAAAGACATCATAAGAAAACTATAAACCAATATTTCTTATGAATGTGAACTAAAAAATCATCAACAAAATATTAGCAAACTGAATCTAGTAATATATAAAAGAATAGTGCCATGACCAAGTGGGACTTATTCCAGGAACACAAGGTTGATTTAACATCTGAAAATCAATGAACGTAATACACCATATTAATAGAATAAGAAAAACCAAAAAAGCCCCATGTGCTCATCACAATCGATTCAGAAAAAAACATTTGACAAAATCTAACACTCTTTCATGATAAAAACAGTCACCAAGGTAGGATTAGAGGGAACTTCGTTAACCAGTTAAGGGGCATCTATGGAAAGCCCACAGTTAGCTTGATACTTAATAGTACTATTATTATTCCTTAAGATCAGGAACAAGACAAAAATAGCCACCTCTGTAGTTTTTTTCAACATTGTATAGAGATTCTAGTCAGGGGTAATTCGGCAAGAATAATAAATAAAAGATATCCATATTGGAAAGGAAGAAGTAAAACAGTATCTGTTTACAGATGACATAATCTTGTACACAGGAAATTTTATGGAATCCAGTAAAAAACAGAGCTAAGAAATGTGTTCAGTAAGATGAGATGATATAAAGTCAATATAAACAAATCAATTGTATTTCTATCTTCTTGCTATGAACAGGATAAAATGAAATTAAGAAAATAATTTCATTATACAATAGCATAAACAAATGTGTAGGAATAAATTTAACGAAACTTTTACTTTTCAAGCTATAAAATGTTGTTTAAAGAAATTAAAGAAAATCCAAATAAATGGGAGAATGTTCATGGTTGAACATTTCCTACTGTAACATTTTAATATATTTAAGGGACTCATACTTCCCAATTTTGAAAACATACTATAAAGCAAAAGTAATCAAGACAATGTGGTACTGGTATCAGAATAAACATAGTAATTTATGGAATAAAATTTAAATTCCAGAAAATATGTTTCAATGGTCAACTGATTTTTGACAAGTATGTCCATTTGATGGTGAAAGAATAGTTTCTTCAACAAGTGGTGCATTGGATAACTGGATGGCCATATGCAAAACAATGTAATTGGATCTTTACCTCACACTATATACATAAAATGGATCAAACACCAAATGTAAGTGCTAAGACCATACAGCTCTTAGAGGAAAACATGATCAAAAATGATCATGATCTCAGATTTGTTAATGGATTTTTAGATATGACACCAAAAGCATGAACAGCTAGGAAAATAATAGATAAATTAAATTCTTTACAATTGACTTTCAAGAAAGTTTAAAAAGAAACCACAGAATAGGAAAAATATTTGCAAATCTCATATATAAGGGCCTTGTATCTAAAATATATGATGGACTCTTACAACTCAATAATAAAGAGACCCTATATAAAAATGGTTAAAGGAACCAAATAGACATTTCTCCAAAGAAGATACTAAATTATCAATAAACATTTGTAACACGCTTGATATCTTTAGTGACCAGAAAATGCAAATCAAAACTACAATGAGATACCCACTAGGAAGGCTATAATCAAAAAGTCAGCTAACAAAAACTTGGTGAGTAACTGCAGGAATTGAAATCCTCATACACTGAGGTTGGGAATGTAAATTGGTTCAGCCATTCTGGAAAGCAGTCTGGAAATTCCTCAAATGGTTAAACCTAGAGTTACCATATAACCCAATAATTCCACTCCAAAAGAAATGAAAACATATGTTCACAGAAAGAGTTGTACATAAATGTTTGTGATAGCATTATTTATAATAACCAGAAGTTAGAAATAATTCAAATATTCAAGAACTTATAAGTGGATATCTTAAATGCGATATGTCTATATCCAGTGCAATATTATTCAGCCATAAAAAGGAAGAAATGAAGTACTGATACATACTTCAACATGCATGTGCCTTGAAAACATTACGGTAGGCCCGCCGTATAAAAACTTAGACGGAGAAGGTCACAGACTTGGCGGCTCTTAGGCTCCCCATATATACCACACCACCATTGCAGTCTAAATATGTTGAAGAACAGCCTGGTCATTTACAAATGGGCTTTGCATACATCCGCACAACAACTGGTCATTATATTGGCTGGTGCAAGGGTGTTTATGTTTTTGTGAAAAGTGGGATAATGGATACAGTACAGTATGGAAAAGATGCCTATATCTATCTGAAGAACCCACCTCGAGATTTTCTTCCAAAAATTGGAGGGATTACAGTTTTGGGATTAGCAGGCTTGTTTTCAGCTAGAAAAGGTTCTAGGTTTAAGAAAATTGCTCATCCACTGGGACTGGCCACTTTAGGAGCAACTGTTTGCTATCCAGTTCAGTCAGTAATAATCGCAAAGGTAACTGGGAAAAAGGCATATACTACAAGCCAGCAAATTTACGAAGCAGTTAAATCATTGGGGACAAAAAACAACAGAAAAGAGTCACTTTCTAAACTGAAAGAAAAACCCAAGATAGAAGAAAACTCTGCTGAAATAGAAATACCTGCAAAAACAACTCAGAACCTGAAACACTCAGTGCCTTTGCCAACTGAACTCATCTTTGAAACAAAGACAGAATCAGAATCTACCTCAGGTGCTGCACAGTTTATGTCTGACCCCAAGTTCATGGATCATGGGCAGTCCCATCCAGAAGATGTAGATATGTACAGCACTAGAAGCTGAAATAGTCTGCATAGAGAACTACAGGATGTGTGAAGTTGAAAATAATGACGAAAAAATCATGTGAAGGTTAACTGTGACACATAGAATATAACCTAAACCAAGTTTTTCCCTTACATTTTCTAATGTAATGTACAATTTGACTAATCACATAAGTAATTAAAGCACAAACTGTGACTTTAATTCAAACAATATTAAATGATTGACAAAGAGGCAGAAGTAGAAATATTGGGATGTATTTAATGATTTTTAGTGGTGTTTATAAAAAAACCCCAAAACTAGAGTAAATATATAAACACTGATGAGATTAAGATCTGAGCAAATATGTATGTGGGCATAAAAATATTTATAAAGATACACATATACACATTGTTTTACCTTTTTTAAATTAATGTCAGCTATATTAGAATGTTGTGTGGAAGGATGTGTTCCCCACTTTTTCATTTCCCAGAGCTGGAATAAAATATTCATATTTTATGACAAAAAAAAAAGGAAACATTACGGTAAGTGAAAGGAACCAGTCATAAAAGATCATATATTTTATGACCACATTTTTATGAAATATCCAGAATAGATCAGATCTAGAGATGGAAAGTAGTAGTTTGCTGAGAGTTAGGGGGATGGAGAAGTAGATATGTGGTAGCTAAAAGGAGTGAAGTTTCTTTATGAGGTGATGAAAATGCTCTAAAATTATTTGAGGTTGCACATATCTATAAATATGCTAAGAAAACCCACTGAATTGTATACTTTAAGTGGGTGAATACAATGGTATGTGAATTATATCTCAAAATAATTAAGTGGCTTACCTTCCCATTCAAGCCTATTATTTTGTTTTAGATCCTAGAGCAGCTGCCATTAGGTTGAGAGAAAGGCATGAGAGCAAGAAAGTAAACTAAGTTGATAAACAAACAAAAATTTAAATAAACCAGTAAAAGAGGCCCAAGTTTAAATCTGAAAAAGAATTGAGTTGATTATTACTGACTCATGGAATTGACTGGAAACAAATAGATTAGAAGCCAACTAAGAATTTGAGGGAATTGTATTGCCAGTAAAACGTTTCCAGTATTGTAAAACTCTGTGATCATACAACAACCCTCAGTTCCCCAAACTTACATTAGTAGTAAATAGACAGTGATGATTTTAACCTCTAAAAGTGAGTATACTTTCCAGTGTTCACTTCAGATATGGCCATGTATGACGATGAGCAAGGAAAAATATCACAGTGGGTACAGCTAAGCATGAAGATCAGTGGACACAGTAGCTTCTCCCAGAGAGTTGAATTAGATTCTTGGAACTCGTACATCTCTCATGAATTGTGACTTCACTATACCTGCTCAGCAGGGTTTCATCATTGCAATGACTCTGTGATTACTGTGTGTCTACCATTTTCCTCTCCTCACACTTGGAGTCTTTACTGGAGTTACCTTAGGTGTCCAGTGCAGGGCTCGAACTCATGAACCATGAGATCATGACCTGAGCCAAACCAAGAGTCAGAGGCTTAACTGACTGAGCTGCCTCTGGAGTTAGCTTATTTCTACTCTGCTATTGATGTAGAGATATGTATAGGTAGAGAAAGAAGTTTTCTCCTTAGTTTACAGCTCAAGGACCACAAAAAATACTTCTTGTTTGAATAGAGAGAAATATAATAACTCAATGGCCAATGCACTTGAGCTGGATGCATTAAGTCTCTTTTCAGAGTATTATTGGATGTTTGATGTGTGGGAAGAAGAGTCAACATGACTATGGTGACCAGAAGGGCAGTTAGTGACAGGAGCCACTAACTAATTTTTTAAAAAAGGAAGAAAATCCATAGTCTTCTTTTCCTCATGACCATATAGTTACTGTATAGTTACAGTATCTTCAGCCTCGGTTATGTTTAATTGTGGTCATGTGACAATGTCTAGCCAATAGAATGTAAATAGAAGAGAGGTGCTTCCCATCCAGCTCCAGCTCATTAAAAGCCATTGCAAGTACTTTTCCATTCTTCCTTCTCTGCTAGCCGGAAGGGAGAGAATCGCCATGGTAACCTTATAAGCCATGTGTTGAACATGGCTGAGACCCGTCAGCTTAGGTCCTTGAGTAGCTACATGAAGAAGAGCCCCATCAGCGTTTTTCCTCTCAGTGCTACTATTTAACAAAAACTCTTGATTTTGTGCCATTATACATTCAGCCTTTTTTTTTTTTTTAAAGCAATTAGCCTCCCCTGACTAATATAACTCTCATCATTGAATGTCTCCCCTGTACCTGCTGAGTTTAATAAATTGTGCTCACTGGGTATTCTTTTTTTTTTTTTTTCCATTGATTCATGCACACTCTATGTGGTGGTTTCAATGACTACTCAGACTACTTACATTCTATTCAAGGTGTTTTTTTCCCTTCTTGAGTTTTATGTCTTTCTTCTTGCATTTGATCTTATTGGTAGTTTCATCCCTGTAAGTTTTAGTTGTAGGTGTGGTATATCTGAAATATAATTTTAAATTAAATAGGAAACCTGAGGAATGTGCTTGCTAAATCAGAGAGAATATAGACTGCTTAAACATGTATTATGGCTATTCCACTTGTCTTCCCCAGTCCAGACACCTGGAAGTCAAGACTCTTAAAAAAAAAAAAAAAATCTACATTATGGGATGCATTCATTTTTTTGTGTGTGAAAGGGATAAAATGTATTTAGGTCTATAGTTGTCAACCTGAAGTTTTAGACACTTTTTGCAAGTTATTTGGAATATCATCCAGTAAATTTGATGGATAACTGCAGAATTATTTGATAGTAAGACCCAACAGTTTTAATTTGGTTCCTGTATCACCTTGGTAGTTAAGTTGGACATTTCTTTCATTCTTCCCCTCTTGCATGCTGAAAAAAAAATCTAGAAGGTAGCATATTAAAAAACCCGAAGTGTTGCTCATTTAAATAATTTATTTTTCAATCAGGGACATCAGTTTGAAGATTAATACACTGCATTCATTTTCTCCTTTTGAGAAATCTGGAACAAACAGGCTTGCACGGTGTATATATAATTCATTTAGGTGTTGAAGTCTGAGCCTACATTTGTAAGAGAACATTTCAAATGAGCCATAATTAATATGTCACTTTAGGAGGAGCAGTGGGATGAGGGGGTGGAAGTAAATGGATCTACCTGATGTTCCTGTAGTGTATGTGAGGAAAGGCAAAATTAAAGCTAATGCACAAAGAAAAGGCCTGCTTTGCAAGCTTATTTCTTTGAGCTCATGCCAAAGTAAATAGGTATATCTATGGATATCTCCTTCTGGAGGTGTAGAAAGTGTAGGTTAAGTGTGATGGACTGCAGCACGTTTCATGAGAGGAAGTTTGAAGAGTGCATTAATCTGAAAGGCCAATCTTGTTTTTCTCAGCTCCGCTGCCATTTACTGGGTGAAATGTAAAAAGCTATTCAGCATTTCCAGCTCTTGGTTACTCTCTTGAATGAAGAGAACCAACAGCTGTTCCCTTTGTACCTTGCCTATTAATATGAAGGGATATACTGAAGGCAGAGATTCTATGCAAACATACTTTGTACTATGTGCCTATATCTGTGTTCCATGAGAGTTTGACTCCATCACCACTGTCATGGGAATATGGCATTTCAATATGGGCAACAAGGCTTTCAGATACTTTCAGACGTATCTTCAAGTATTTCCAGTGAAATTTGGTGAATTTAGTTCTTTTCCACATACAGGGGATCGGGAAGGATGTCCATTTTATCACTGTGATAAAACTTGTTTGGGCGACTCCAAACAGACAACTTTTTTGACTTCTGGTTGACTTTGGAACCATCACTAAAGGATTGTGAGGGAAGGGTCTTCTTTCCTAGTCTTGGGTTTGCAGGATTGCCCCAGAGGTTTCTTTCCTATTCAAAACTACTGCTGAAGCATTGGCCTAGCAAGTCATCCAAAAAGGAAACAAACAACAACAACAACAACAACAACAAACAAAAGTAGGAGTCTTTTCAGAATACTATTTGTTTCCTTTTGGCAAATGCTACGTCTCCCTAATCCCAGAATGTAATTGCCATGGCTTTGCACATAACATTAGAACTTCGAGGTGAAAGAGATTGGAACTAAGAATTGGAAACCTCACTATTCCTGGTTATCAAATCCTTTTGGAGGGTAGTGCCCAGATGAAGCATCCTTTTTAGAAAAGGACTTGAAAGAACAGTGGGCCTTGGGCAGGAGAACAGGTAGTGAGAGAACTTGATATATCCTTTCAGGGACTACTGTTGCAAGATTAAGATGTTTAGTTTGGGAAGATGCTTTATGGGAACCATGGTAGCACAATGATGGAATAATGTTCCCCAGAAGAAAAACAACAAACAAACAAAAAGATGATGAAAAACAACACAGAACCGGTGCACATACATTCTAAAAGTAGAGTTTGGTTGACTATAATGGAAAGCAACTTTCTAATATCTGTTGTTGCTAAATTATAGGAGGGAGGTCCATATCACTGAAATTTTCTGGCTGATATTAATAGTTAATTTATTAAGGAAGCCTGTAAATATTGGAAAGGAAGTTTAATTACTTGAATTTCAAAGTATAGAGTAAAATTAATGGTATAGACTCAGGAATCAGAGGGAGTGGAATTCCATTCTGGGCTGCATCCTTTACTACTCAGATGTCTTGGGATATTTAATATCTTTACATTTAATTTGCTCACCTATAAAATGCAGACATTCACAGTACTTCCCAGGGTTGCTGTGAATATTAAATATAACAATGCATTGAAAGCATTTAGTACAATCCTGGGTTATATGAGGTGATCAATAAATAGGAGCCAGTTATTTTTTTATTTCTAATTAATAGTGCATGATTTTCTACCTAAAGAATTATGCATTGTGATATTCAAAAACTGTTGTGACAGATTTCTCCTGTGGAAAAATATCTTAAAATAACTAATAATTTGATTTTTTTTCAATAGTTAGATACATTGCAGAAAGTGGTTATTACCAAGTCATTAACTTTTGCATCTGACTAATTAGATAGCTGTTACT